ACTCAGAACTGTTTACCTGGTGGTAGTCCAGTAGACTCAGAACTGTTTACCTGGTGTTAGTCCAGTAGACATCTAGAGAATGGAATTTGCAAAAGTTAACAAATAATTACAAAATGATATCTGTCTCAGTATTCATGAAATTCTATATCATCTAAAGCTACAATGTATAACAATAATATAATTTCTTTCCAGCCACATTGATTAAATGAGAATTGAAATTTGCCAACTTTATGTTTTAAATTTATTTTATATTATGATTAGACCTTCATTACAGTGTTTTTTTCTTGTGTATATGTATGACATAGAAAACATTTATGTTAAGAGTAAAGAAACAACATGACATTTTTGGCACAAGTTTATATTAAACTCCAACGATTACATAGGCTAAGCTAACACTGTATTTACCAGCACTGCTGTTTGTAACAGTGTTACCAAAATTAATTGGCTGAAACAACTAATAAAAAGTATCTTTCATTATGCCAAAAAATGTCAGTTTTTTCACTTTTAATATAAGAATAATATTTTCTAAAATAGTTTATTGTTAAACATAAAGCTTCACAATGGACTATCTCGTTTGTTTAACATAATAAGTCTGAAGGCTTACTGTTGTCACTAGAGGCAAAACAGTTTATTATTTGCAGTCTTATTTCACTGTTGTTGTTTGGCACGTATCTACCATTTCAGTTTACATTCCTAAGATTACATATCTGCCTTCATAATATTTCATTATGTTCTGTTATTTTATTAAAAACTTTTTTTTTCCAATACGATAACTTATTTTTGCTCAAAAAACAGCCTTCCTCGATTTATACTACCCTCTATATGGGCAAAATTTTTTGCCTGCCACTAGCCTTTTTACTCCCACTAATCTCCACATGGTATAACTGCATTGTAGCATGCAAATAAGGATGTGATAATCCTCCACCAATAGGAATGCGACACACTATCTTAGTGCAGCTGACTTCCTCTATGAAGTAGAACCCAATCTTCTCTTTTTGATTTGGTATGATAGTCATCAGTTGTCTTGCTTGCCCATTTTTTATTTTTTTTCATTTGGTGTACAAAGTTTTTGAACTTGGAAAAATTTGAGACTTCAAAATTCTTTCACTAATTTTTTTGGTTTTGAAAAATTTTCTACATTTTTTTGCTTGGATTTGAAAAACAACTTGGAATTTGTTTTATTGTGTATTCAAGTAAATTTCATTTGGAATAATTTCTGTAAATGACTTATTGCAAGTTCACAGATTCTTGTCACTACTACTACAACTTCAGATACTATTATTGACCAACAACCTAACATGATGGCTTTAGGTCTGATGTTGCAAAATTGGCTAAGGATATTTCAGCCCTTGTGTGACACAAGATGTCTTTATTCATGCGGTCTGAGGGTTCTCCTGACTATCAAGCATTACTTCCCTTCTCAGAGGAGCCAGAACAGGATGATGAGGATTTAGACAGCTTTTTCCCTTCCCACTTTCCTTTGTTGTGCTGTCTTGTTCTGAGACCATGAATGCACCACAACCTTCTTTTCCATGTTTAGAGCTAGTTTCACAGGTATTTTCTGTTTGTCTTTGTCTCCTGTGACTTACAACCCAACTGAGTTTCATGGAGCTTATGATTCAGAAGGTGCAATCCTTACCTTTTCTTCCTGTGTGAGAGGTTATTTTTCTTTTGTGGACTTGGGCTTCCTTGGAAGCTCTTGTTCACCTTGGTCATGCCTATATGAGGTCTCTTCTGTGAGTCCTTCAGGTTCAATGGAACCTCATCAGAGATTCACTAGATTACCCGGTATCCTTACCTCCTTCCCTCCAGACTTATTTTGCCTGTTAGCTGGACAGGGAGAACAATATGGCTGGTATCCCTCTTCCTTCTCCATGACTGGAAGTGCAGCTTCTTATGAATGCTTCTCTGTCAGGCTGGGGGACATACTGCAATGCCCAAGAGATTTGTCTTCAGTTGAGTCGAGTTTCCACAGCAATATTCTGGAACTTCTGGCTGTTCATTGGGCAATGAATCATTTCTTGTCAGCTTTGAGGGGCAACACAGTGATGATCCACTCTGACAACTTGGCTGTTATCTCTTACATCACTTGGCAAGAGGATACCCAGTTGTGTTCATTATGTCTACACATTGACATGCTGTTCTCAGCCCATAACTATTACATTCATTTACTGGCCTGTCACATCCTAGGTACTTTCAATCTTGTCACAGATCAATTATCTTGTCAGCTCAACCTTGGTTTCATCTACTTTTACCTCTCCAGCTGTCACCACTTTTACCTCTTCCCCTTTCCTTCTCCATCAACTTCATTTGGCAGTGCTTCATCCATCTATTCTCACCTTTTGTCTTCACACATGGCCTTAGTCCAGTCCCCTGTATGAGGTTCCGGACTTTCTACCTGGGTAGCATCCCTTCTTTTCCACTCTGTCCACACCTCTTTCTTGTCCTTATACCGACATATATGTCCTATATTTTGCCATTGGTTCAATTTCATTCAGTTGGAGATTTATACCTTCCTCCTCTTTTGTCCCTCATTTTTCTGGATTTTTTACCTGGCTTTTCGATAATTGTCTTTCTGTTTCTACCATTGCCAGTTATAGAGCTGTGTTATCATCAACCTTTATTTTTTTCTCGATTCCACCATGATTTTTCCTCTATTGTTATTTTTATGTTGTTTCATTATTTTCATTTCCATCGTCATCCTCGAACTACTCCCTTGCCAGATTGGGATCTTAATATTGTCCTCCATGCCCTTTCTGTACCTCTGTTTGAACCTTTGGCTTCCTGTTCCACATATCACCTATCCTTGAAAACCTTTTTCTTCCTCCTCTTAGCTTGTGAACATCAAAGGTTAGATGTGTACATCCTCAATGTCTCTCACATCCTTTACCACCGAACCTAATCGTACCTTCCTACCAAAAACCTCTGCTGCACATGACAGTAACGTTGCCTTCTCTCCTATTTTCCTTCCTTCCATTTCACATATATATTCCCATTCTGTTCCTAATAATCTCCTGTGTCCAGTCAGGGCTCTAAGGTGTTAAGTGGCTTGCACATCTTCTTTCTGTGGTTCCCACTTGTTTATACACTGGTATTCTTTGATTTCCCATGACCTTTGTCCTCCTACTCTGACACTTGGGTTTAGTAACTCATATGTATAGCCTATTCCTCCTTGTCTCCTGACTCCCATTGCCTTTTCAATGTCTCCACTCATCAGATTTGTCATCTCACAATGTCTTTGGCTGCTCATCTTCATCACTGTTTGGAGGAGATTAACCAGGCCAGCATGTGGACCACACTTCATACTTTCTTGTCACATTGTTTGCATTGTTTTGCAGTTTCTTTCTCAGCCAGATATTGTCTATCTCCTGTCACCCATCAGTTCATCTTTGAGTAGGTAAGTGTCATTTTGTCTTCTTGATTTCATAATACAGGGGCTTCCTTGCATTTCTTTCTCAGATCCTGCTCTGTGGTGAGTGGTGCCTGTCCAGGTATACAAGTTTTAAAATCCAAACTGTGCAACCGTTCCATCACTAATGCTCACTGTTAAGATGAGGTGTTCCAAAAGACTGCTTGTAGGTTCATCCTTGCAGTGTTTTGTATTCTAAATATGTTCATCGTGGACCATATACTCATGGAATAACATGAGTAAAGCTGAAAGGGAATTCTGTCCTTCCCTTTACTGTAAAAATTGGTTTCGTGGTCACCCATTGCACTTTCTCCAGTGCTGAATTCCTCCATACCTCCAATGCATTTCCCCCTCTTATCCTAGTGGAGTATAGGAGTTCTTACCACTTACCAGCTCCTAGCTGCTGGGGTGGGGACCATGGAGGCTTCTTCCTGAGTGTGTTCAATTTCATTCAGTTGATAGTAGGGTGGTAGTGTGCTGCCAGTGTAGGTGGCATGACTGCTCTCATACTGTGGATCTGATTTACAGTTCCAGATGCCGTACACTGTGGACTGGATTTTTCTGTCACATTTCTATATGCAGTTCACCCCCTTTGACTGTGAACCCTCTTTCCTACTGCTGCCTGGATGTTGGTTCCCGGGTGACTGGTGTTGGTTGGAGCTGAACCAGTCAACATAAGTCCTCACATGTGAGTGGGCTGGGACCCTCTTCTTCCACAGACTGGACAATACATTTCCAATGCCACATGGGTTTGAAGTGAGTTAACCCTCCATATTACATTTCCACCTTCCTACAATCATCCGGATGCTGGATCCCGGGAAGTACTAGTGTTGGTCATGTTCATTATGTACACATGATGGCTTGGGTTTTCAGAACAGGAGTACTTCCCTTCTGGTTCCTGGATCTGAGATAAATAGTAGAGGACCCTCCTCCTACCATTGGCCAATTGATCCAATCCTGGTGCCACTAGTTTTGGACTGGAGTTGACCTCCCGCTTACTGTCCGACATGCTTTAGCCACTCATTTCTGGCCATTTTGCGACATATTCATTCATCTCGGGCAAGGAGTATACCTGGTTCAGATGTGTGTGTTTCCTCTCCATTGAGATGTCACACTCCTTGGGTCCTCTTGTTCTCTTTTGATGCTTTCTGGAGGTGACTCATCTAGTTTACTTCTTCACTGGTCCTTTCACCGGGTCAGTGTGGAATTTTAGCTGTTTTGTGAGCAGAAGTAAGTTATTGTATCAGAAGTTAATATTTTCCTAAACTGAAAATACATTTCTCATAGATACTTACCTCTTTTCACACTTCTCACCCATCCTTCCCACTTTAGTGGGAGTATAAAGGCTAGTGGCAGACAAAAATTTTGAAGTACAAATCAAGGAAATCTGTTTTGTAAGTATGTATTGGAAATATATTTTCATTTTAGGAAAATGCATGCATTAACATCATTTATTGACATTACTTTATAATTTAGTTCTTCTGAATTAACAATTTTGACATTTTTAGATGATATGGGTTTGATCAATTTTTTTACAGTGTTATTGCTTTCTGTAGTTTCAACAAGTATTCAATGATATTATTAAATTAAGATGACCCCATATATAACTTATCAGCTTTACATTTCACAGATTTCTCTATGTACATGTATATATATATTTCATTTAACATGGTAATCTTATAAAAAATTTGCAAACATTGTGTATGTACTATAATTTATTTGCTGTTGTAGAGAATATCTTTTATCATTACAAGTAGCAGTTTTTGTATAGTATATAAACATTGGCAGCTTGATATAGTATTTAGTGCAACTGAAATTTAAAAGCATCTTTTCTTTGTGAATAATGTGACATTTTTGTTACTAGTCAAAATTACAAATACAACCTATAGGTTAGGCATAGATACATATTATTAGATAAATACTTTATTTGAATATTAATTGTACATTACATTAAGTAAACATACTTTCAATTGTTGTATAATAATATTATACACACACATATATGTATGTATATATAATTAACTTTTTAAACTTTATCAGTTCTGTATCAGCTGCATTTTATTTTGTACTTTCATATTTCTTTGTATTCTAATTGTATGTAAAGGTAAAAATGAATCACAAAACAATAAATTCAAAAGCAACTGGTTTCTGTTGCACTTGTATTTTTTTAAAGAAAAATGTTTATCTTATAAATCATACTTTTTTTTCAGAATTGTGTGAACTTCAGCTAGTCAAATTAGACATTTCAGGCAACAAAATTAGTTTCTTACCTATACCTCTCTACTATATGACATCTCTGCAACATTTAGTGGTGGACAAGAACCCACTGATCTCACCACTGTCTATTGTAAGTATGTTTAATCAGTTATAGGGTGTACTGAGTTTGTTATTATAATATTCATAACTTATGTCTTCTTTCTCAGTTGAAATATTTTTAACCTGAAAACTTGAAGTTGGTCATATAGAAACTAGTGTCTATTTTGGTCATCATAATATTTGATACGTAATATAAAGCAATAAAATTGCCTTTCAATGACAACTTAGTATTGGAGCTCTCAAACAAAACAAATTTTATTCTTATGGGCCCAACTTTTGAAGAGAAATCATCATTTGAAAATGAGTTTTCCTCCCCCCCCCCTCCTGTTTTTGTCAAGATTTTTGTTTATCATAGTACATAACCTTTTATTTAATATTCAAGTGATTATTTGTAATTATAGTTTTATGTTTATTGTAGGAATTTCATGAAGATAGAATGTGTGTATATTCAGAAATGTTCAATAAATATGTTGTTATTTGTCACTTCTGTGATTGTATTGTTTCATCATTAGACTATGTTTTCCACTTCATGAATCTAGCACCAATTAGTTTTAGGCTCAAAGTATCTTCCTGTACTTCGTTAGGAATGTAACTAGCATATGCATGCAGTATTCAAAGAACAGCATGTACAGGGAAACCTCATTAATCTGAATGCATTTTTCATGAACTAATATATCTGGATTATAAAGTTGAATCTGTAATTTTGAATACAGTAAACACTATTAATAGCATGCATTATCAATCGATAAATGTAAGGGTTATCATGTAACTAGTATGTACAATAAACTTAACTTTGCTATTTTTTTATATCATCAGTAATTATAACAATTGCATAATCATTATCATCATTAATAACACTTTGTCCAAAACAATGACTTGCTTACAAGTAAGCTTACAGAATTGAACATATGTAGTATTGGTCAAATATACAACAAATTACTTTCCATAGAAGGCTGTTATCATAGTATGCTTTTGAATTGAAACATATTTCTGTTGAAACTTCTCAGTAGCATTATGAAAAATAATATATCATCTTCATAAAAATCACTAATTTGTTCAAATCATGTGATGATGTCTTTAAGGCTGGACTGTGCTTTATTCAGACTGATTAGTTGACTGGTGGATTATTTTCGATGTCACATTCCTTGTCACCACACTCTTAAAGAGACACAACAGAAATTATACGTTCATTTGACAACACTTGACTAGTTGGTTCTGCTGAGTCTATGTTGAGTCACTAATCAGCTGACATAGCTGATTAATACCCAAGAATAAGATAAGAATTTCAGAAGCAATTGCATTAACAATCTCTGACATCGCAATGTTATCACTCTGTTCAGGCTGCAGCAAAATCATCACATACTTAAAACAGTTTTTAATAATTTCCATAATAACACTGAACCATGTGAAATTTAACAATTTGTAAAGCCATGTGGACATTTACAGTTTGGGAGTCATTATTTTCAACATATTCAATGTACTTTTTAATTATCAGATTATGCCACAATGCACTGTGACTTGACATAACTGTAGCATAAGTCACTCTGATGACCTCTCAATATTTGTTATAGTTTATGTGTACGTTTTTAGTGTGAAGGTAGTTCTCAGAAAAACTGTTGTTAAACAGTACTAAATGTCATTGAAGGCCATTTTCAGAACATTTGCCATAAACTGATACCTGCTAGTTAGTGTATGTGTTATGTTGTCAGTAATTATCACTTTATTTATTGTTTACATTCAGAATGTGAATATATTGATTAAATTTTCCATTGTGAAGCTTTGTCAACATGAAAAATATCCATATTGTTAATAATCTGGATTGTTGATGTCCCGACTAATGAGGGTTTACTGTAGTACCATTCAAGATGTCCATTTCCATAATAACTTTAAACTGACACACATACTCTTTTTTTTGCTGTTAAAATGCAATCCATTATATTCAGAAATTTGAATGTAACTAGAAATACAGTTTCATTAACAAGTAGTAATTCAATCCACATGACAAAATTAAAAAGCATAAAAGTGTGATTAATATTTTTGAAGAGATAGTTTTATCATAATATGTGTTTAAGAATTATTTATACACCATAATGTCACTCTCAATCTTCTGTTTTATCTTATCATAAAACATAAACCAACAATGGCTGTCTGTAACATCCAAACCTCTTTTTAGTTGTCCGAAATAGCAACATTCTATAACTCGTGTGTATATACATGTGTATACAAGTTGGTGATTACCAACTCAATCTTCTGGCAGAAAAACAAATTCAAAATGACATGTAAACATCTACAGTCAGGTCATAGGCTCCTCTTGGATTATGTCATTATCAGAGCAAAAGACATACAAGATGTAAGACTCACAAGAAATATGACGAGAACTGATGAATGTTGGACTGATCACCATCTCGTGCCTGCTACGATTAACATATCCCTACCACAGAGAAACAGAAAATCCTTGAAACATGCCCAGAAAAGGATCAACTTTGCTACATTAAAGGACCATGCCAAAAACAGTATTTTCAAGAGTCACTCAATACCTTACTCTTGAAATCTACCAGAAGTAGCTCTGTCAATGACCTCTCGGAAAACATCAAAAATTCAGTTCATAACAAACGAAAACACTAAGATTGATTCAATGAAAACGACACCAAAATTGCCAATATACTCAATCAGAAACAATGAGATTATGTCTACTGGGAAAGCGACTTTAACAATGCGAAAAAAAGCACCACCCGTAGCAACAAATCAAGGCTGACATCCAACATAAAATTCGAGAACAAATGGTGGGAAGACAAATCCAGGTAACCCCAAACATTTGGCGACCAACATGACGTGCAGCTTTTTTCAAGCTGCGAAGACAAGTTATGGCCCTCAACACCATGGCCCAGTTCTGATTCACTCAGCTGATGGTGATACACTCCTCTGGGATGCCGATTCCATCAAAAGACACTGGAAGGACTACTTCGAGCAACTCCTGAACAGGGACAGCACAATTGAAGAGCATATCTATGATGACATTTCCCAGCAAACAGCAAAAGGAACACCTGAACAAATCTCTATCCCAAACTGAAATAGAATCCACCATGGAAAAATGAAGTCCAACAAGGCCTGTAGACCAGATGAAATCTTTGCTGAGATCTTTCAACATGGTGGAACACTCCTGATTCAGAGACCACATCAGCTCATCCTTCAAATGTGGGCTACAGAGGAAATACCATCTGACCTGTGCAATGCATATATCATGACTATCTTTTAAAAAAGGGACAAATCCCTGTGTGGAAATTATTGAGGCATTTCCCTTTTATCAATTGCAGGAAAGATCTTGGCCTGCATCCTGGCAAACAGAATATCTCTAATATCTGAGGAAACCATCCCTGAGAGCAAGACCAGGATTTGTTCATTAGTTTTATAGATCTGACCAAAACATTTGTTTCTGTCATCCATGAAGTATTATGGAAAATTCTTGACGAAGGTTCATCTGAATTTTGAGACTCCTTCATGATGGCATGACTGCTTCTGTACTCTGTCAAAACTCTTAAACTGAGGCCTTCAAAATCCATACAGATGTGAAGCAATGATGTGTAATTGCTCCAACTCTCTTCAAACTTTACTTGTCAGCAATCTTCTTTTTTTACAAAATGACTTTCCTGCTGACGTACAACTTCATTATCGTTATGAGGGCAGCCTCTTCAACCTGCAATGGCTGAAGGCCAGAACCAAAGTTACCCCTATTATCCTTAATGATCTTCAGTATGCCAATGGCTGTGTAATAATTGCCCATAATCCTTCTGACATGCAAACAACAATGGATCTCATTAACTCTGATTACAAGAAATTTGGACTCTCCTTGAACATGAAAAAACTGAAAATCATCTTTCAACTGAAACCTTTAAGACCAAACTTCAAACCTCCCAAAATATTTGTCGATGGAGAACCACTCGAATGCATGGATCACTTCCTGTATCTTGGCAGTCATCTATCTTCGAACACCACCATTGATAATGAAGTTGAAAGCAGAATAAGCTGTGCTGGAAATGCTTTTTAGAGACCAAGACAATGCGTATTCGACAACAAAGATCTGAGAAAGAAAACTAAGTTGATGGTTTATCATGCGGTGGTCATCACTGTTCTCCTCCAAGTTGATGGTTTACAATGCAGTGGTCATTACTGTTCTCCTATATGGCAGTGAAACATGGAAAGTATGGAGAAACACACATCAAAGCCTTTGAGGGATTCCATCAGAGATGCATCCATCGAATCCTTGGAATCAAATGGGAGGACAGAGGAATCAGCATCCTTGAAGAGACTGATTCCACAGGCATTACAGTCTGGCTGATAAAAGATCAACTTTGTAGGGCCAGTCACTGTTTCCGTATGCAGGAACATAGCCTTCCTCATCAAGTCCTCTTTTCAGAACTTCACCATGGTACTCATTCTCGAGGTGGACAAGTAAAAAGTTGGAATGATACTCTTAAATCCAACCTCAAAAAATGTCCATCAACCTCAACACATGGGAGAAGGATGCATCTGACCATTCTTGTTGGTGTCGTCTAATCATCATGCAACAGAAACATTTGAAACTGATCAGCAGGAAAATGAGAAACAGAAGAGGAAAGAGAAAGAAGCCAACCCTTCTTTGTGACAATGTCTTCTTCTGAGTACTATCTATCAGAGGTGTTCCAGACAATCTAAATCTCGAATTGGGCTGTTCAGTCACATGAGAACACATGCAGATGACATTTATATATATTTAATAAGTTGACAGTTACACATATAGATACTAGTCTCCTACTGAGCTCTTTGTTATTCAGACCATGTATAGAACATAGTGTTATTTCCAGACAATCTAAATCTCGAATTGGGCTGTTCAGTCACATGAGAACACATGCAGAAGACATTTATATATATATATATATTTAATAAGTTGACAGTTACACATATAGATACTAGTCTCCTACTGAGCTCTTTGTTATTCAGACCATGTATAGAACATAGTGTTATTGAACCATTAGCTTCATGTTCCTTTTACCATCTTCCTCTAAATACATATTTCCTTCTCAGTTTTACCTGTGTCCATTCAGTGTATATGCTACTGATGCTTTCTGCACCCTCTTTCACCCTACTTCTTCTACCCAGACCAGGCCTTTCTTCTAAAGAAGTCAGCTACTTGGAAAGGTAATCATTCTTTGTATCCTATCTCCATTCTTTCAATTTTTAACCACTATGCTCTTTCATACTTGGCTCATCTTCTATGTTTGGCTCAGGCTCATTTGGCACTTTGTCACCTTTTTAGGGCTCCCAACATCATTTGCTTCTACCTTGGGACCCCTTTTCATCTAGGAACCTCTTGTCATATACCCTTACAGGATGAGTCCACCAACTCCATTGGCTGGTGTAGTATTCCCTGGATATTGATGCTCACAGACCTTTTCACATCAGATTCGTCACCTGTCTCACTTTTTTCTGCCTTATTTTTGCCAACCCTTGAACGAGGTTTTTCAGGCTAGCATGTGGACTAATATGCACATATTCATCTCCCATTATCCTTATCATCTGGCTGTTTTGTCTCTTGTGTGATTTTGACTCCCTCTGATTGCTTTTCTTCAATCTTCACAACTCTTTGAGAAGGGTAAGTACAATTTATTTTTCTTCACCCTCTTCACTCTTATAGTATCCTACCAGGTGCCTAGTGTTGCCTCCCAGCATATGTTTATTTCCCAAAATCTGCATTCAGCCAGGAGTAACAGAAATTGTTCAACCCATCTGCCCTGGGTCTTCCAGTGCCCATTGTTGAAACAGAGTGTTCCAAAAGACATTAAAACTTCCCAATTGCCTGATTCAGACTGTACCTTCCATGGACTATCACAAAAAAAGTCAGCATCAGGCTTGCACTTGCTAACTTTTACAAATAGGGTTTTATGGTCACCCATTGCACTGTCTTTAGTAAAAGAATTTCCCGGCATACGCCCACACTTCTACTGTTCTCCCCAACTTGAATCCCTCCCCCCCATCTTCAAGTGTAGCATGAGAGACCCTTGGCACTTTCCAGTTCCTAACTGCTGGGTGGTGGATCTTTAAGAGTTCCTCACTGATTGTTTACAGCACAATACCATGGGAAGCAGGGTAGTGGTGGCACTGTGTGTGTGTGTGTGTAGGGTGGGTCACCCCTCAAACAGCTAGTGTGGCCTGCTCCTGAGCAGACAGGTTCATCACCTCTGTCTCTATCTGTCCAGCTGAGTTGAGGTTAGACATATACACCATATGGTTTCATTGTGCCCTAACCACAGTACATTTCTTGGCTCACCAATCACTTATATCCAAGTATTCTGTTGGTCATGCAAAAATCCTGCCCATCTCTATGACACTTGACGGTCCCTTTTGCTTTTTCCTCTCTCTCCTATTGGATGAAGAGTATACCCTGGTTGAGACAAGATGTGGTCTTCCATGGGTATGCCCCTATAGAGCCCCTGCCATTGGGTGTCACACTCCATGAGCTTTCCCCTTGGTTGCCTTGTATAAGGAGCTCATCTGGGTTTAATGTTTGTATCAGTCCTTCCACCATTTCAGTGTGGGATTTTCGTTATTCTGTGTGAAGAGGTGAGCTATCAACTCAGTAATTAACATTTTGTAACAGATACTCACTACCCATCCTCCCCACATCAGATGCACTTTCTACATGCATTCTTCAAAGAAGGAAGATATTTCGAACATACTGCTCAAGTAGGTTGTGTCACTCTCCTACTAGTGGAGGGCTGTCATTGCAAGATGATGTCATCATGCATTAGTGCAGTTCATGATAAACGTGTTTTTTAGGTGAAAGGTAGCTCAAGGCTAGTGGCATGCAAATCTCATAGGCAGATGCACAGTGGAATCAAGTTGTTATATCTGCAGAGGTGAGTATCTATTAGAAATACATTTGCAGGTGAACAAAATGATAACTTCACAAAAATTTAAAAAAACATTAATTTAATCAAGCAGAAAAAATATTTATGAAGTGTGTAAATGCACATATTTATCAAAATAAATTCAACTATTATTTTTTAAACTCTGTATATAGCTTCTTCAGCTTTGAAAACTAAGAAAATACTTTAAATGCTGTTTTATTTACTTAAATGGAAATTTTCCGGTAAAATATTATCTATTTAGTACTTTGTAGTAAAATTGTCTTGTTATTAATATCAGGTTCAGAAGACTTATGTTAAAGAAAGTTATACAAGTTTTCTATAGTGTTTGGATAATTTATGAAAAAAAATATATATACACATAAACTTTTATGATCCAGTTCTAGTATAGTTAATATTCTAATATTCTCTGTTTTCCCCATTTTAAATAGGTTGAATTTTAATTTTATATTGTACTAATAGTGGTTTCAACTTAGGGTTTGCATCCAAATTATACTTTCATAGAAAGGTTTTTATTTACCTTATTTTTTGTAGATTTGTGAAGTATATGGAGAGTGCTTAAAGTTAAAATCCCAATTTATAAAAATAATGTAATAAAATATTTTTAACATTTGAAAGGTTAATGAAGATTTTTATACGTGCTGTGATTAACCTTCTTATTTTCTACTTCCAAAGAAGGATCAGCTTTGCATGCTTTACTTCCAAAGTTGGATCAGCTTTGCATGCTTTACTTCCAAAGTTGGATCAGCTTTGCATGCTTTACTTTTATTTTGCATACATGTATGTTACAAACCTGTTGCCTTTCCAGTGGCTTAGCAGAAAGTCTGAGGGCTTATCATCCTAAAAATCAGGTTTTGATACCCATGGTAAGTGCTGCACAGATAACCCATTGTGTATCTTTGTGCTTATTAAGAAACAAACAAATGTTACAAACCATGTGTTTGGAATGAGTTATTTTTTGCATATTTCTCATGTGCATACTTCAAGAATCCTGCAGTTATTGAACCCCAGATATTAGGCAGTACATTTATTTTTGTTGTTGTTTTTCAAATAAGAGAGTTTCATTATAGATTTTGAAGAAATTATATCAAAAAATCTGAAGGCTTTTATTATGAATTACTTTTTATGAAAATTACAAGCAGAAATACCTGTCAACTGATGGTGAATGTTTAAACTTGATTAAAATAATGTAAGTATAACAGCAATCATATATTTCAAATCAATAACTTGAACATAAACTTTACCTCAAAATTTTAAAATTATAACAAAGCTTCTTCATAAACAACATTTGCAAACATACCACCCTTAAACACCTAACATCTGATTGACCATGAGAAAAGCATGGTTGTTTGAGAAACAACCCAGCAACTTTCATACTTTGACCTTGAATCCCTTTAGAATATTCAACATTGTCTAAAGCATCAACCTGCCGAGATTGTTTGAGATTGACTCAATAGGGTGGGAGGAATTAACCAACAAGCTTTACAAAATAGAAGTAGAGTCAAGTTCAATTTTGACCCCATTAGGACATTCCCCATAGTTCATAGTGTTTACAAAAAAACTTTGGTTGAGATTGGTCCAATAGACTCAAAGTAGTTAGGGTGCAAACAAACACACATTTTGTCTTTATATATATATATAGATAGATACAGGTTCTTTTTCTAGTTTCTATATTTATAATCCCAGATATTAATTAGTACAGTTTGTTTCTAGAGTATAGACAAGGAAAGCAATTAAAATATCTATATATAACTTGTGTGATATGGTTTCTATTAAGTGCTTTTCAATTAATCTTTAAGCTTATGACAAGTAAATACCACATTCTTAATTTTTAGTTATGTGAGCGGGGAAAAGCTCACATCTTTAAATACCTTGAAGTGCAAGCCAACTGTAAGAGCAAGAAACAAAGAATTTCACTGGAGTTGGATTATCATCAGAGCTCTAAGAAAGCTAATCTTTTGTAAGTAGCTTTTATGCGTATATTGTTGGAAATAATTATAGAAGCAGTGAAGAAAATGGGTGTAAAATGCAAATTATGGAATTTGATCTACCCTCTCTATTGTATGAAGATAACTTTCAATAGAGTACAGTCTGTGTTGATGGTTTACACTATGATTATTTGTCATATACCTAAGTACCTATAAAAGTGCAAGCATGCAGTCATACTATTTTGAACAGTAGTGTTGTGTTTTTACCAGTAAAACAATGCCACATTATGAACATGTAGAAATCAAACATTTTGCTGGAAAAATTACTTCAATTATCAGACTGAAGCAAAATTGCATGTTTTAGTAGGAGCTTTATGAAACACTAAAAAGGACGCATGGAAGTTGCATTTGGTAATAGAAATAATCAAGTTAGGAAGCCCAAAATCTTCACATGTGATGTCAAGTAACACAAGTTATGTTATTTATGTAATTCATGAAAATCCTTTAAAAATCTTACCAATGACCTAGGTGTAAGTACAATAGAGGAGAAGAGTATTATACAGTGAAGCATGCAGTGGTGCCAATATAAGTATTACAACCAATAATGTTGGATATTTAAACATAAAACTGATGACACCCTGACTGCTTACAGGTACAGGCAAATTCTTATTCATCATGTCATTCCCTCAGGAACAAGCAGTATTGGGCAAGTATTTATCTCCCAACAAAACAGCTAACCCAAGTATGCAGCAAATGTAGTGAAATGATAGCTGGATGATAAAGAGGACAAAGGAACACTAGCATCAATGGCTTGGATGCTTCAAAGTGCCAAAATGAATATTATTAAACTATGTGGGCCTTTCTATGAAACTGAGATGGTCAACTGACAACTTAACAACTTGGCTGAGATGTGGGGAGTAATACAGTACATTTGAATAATGCTTTTAGTCATGCATTAACAAGAGTGATGAACTTATAGTAAAATATGATATCATTCTCTGTTTAGAGCAGATAGATATACTAATGCATTGTACAGCTTATTTGCTTTACTTTTGTATTTTCTCTTATAAAGTATTGTATTAATGATAAATTGACCAATTAGTTGAAAACGTTCATGTCTGTGATTTATATGTGTATCACCTGTGCAAATGTTTAATATTGTACCTAATATTCTTTAAACACTGAGTTTAATGAGTGCATACATCAGATATTATCAGTGTAATATTAACAAATCTGCTTTGTATATGCAAAAGAATGAACAAATATTGTTAGTGTAGCACTAGAGTTTATCAGTTTGTAATATTTGCAATATTATATTACTTATCAAAATACTGGATTATAGTACCGTGGATAAATTAAAATGAAAAACAAGTTGGAACTCAAATGCGTTATGTGCACTCATATATATCTTTCAACATGATGACTTTGACAAGGAATTAAGTAACAGTAGTCATTCACAAGAGAAAGAAAGGTTTTTGCAATACCTGATACCCATGCTAAGTGCACGTGTAACAGCAAAGTTTTACATAATATAACACTAAAGGATAGTAAGGAACCTTTGGGTTCATCTAGGCTGTCCCATCCACTAAATTAAACTAAACACTCAAAACCAACCCCCACCATTCAAATAATAACCAAGCTTTCCTTTAAACTCCCTTAAATTTACTACATGTGCCACGTCTGAAGGCAACCCATTCCAAAGGCCAACCACCCTGTTAGAAAAATAAAACTTCTTAGCCGAAGATGACTCTTACCCTGCCAAAAGTTTGTATTTATGTCCCCTAACCTTACCATTCTCATCATTAAATACAAAAAAGGAAGAGACATCAATACTTTCAATTCCCCTAACAACCTTAAACAGCTCAATCAGATCTCTTCAGAGAAAATAAGTTCAGAGATACAGATCTTAACCTATCTTGTATGGAAATCTTCCCATCCCAGGTATCATCCTAGTAGCCTCCCTCTGAACATTACCAACAATTTGATGTCCTTTCTCTTAATGTGTTCTACCAGCAGTTCTCAAATTTTAGTAGCCCAAAGAACCTATTTAGTTTAAGTTTATTTTGCAGACTTCCAAACCTATCAATGTTTTTGTTTTGAAAACAAATTCCATGTACATGAAAAGCTGTATTCCAAAATTTAATGTCTTAATTCATATATATATTTAATTTTATGAAAAATAGTTTTTGTTCCATAAATCAAATTATTTTTAAAATATTTTTATTAAATTTTGGACATGATTCGCGGACCCCCGGAGTACCTTTGCAGAATCCTGGAGGTCCACAAACCCAAGTTTGAGAAATGCTGTCCTATATATTATAACCTCTTTAAACTTGTACTCAATATTTCTGTAGATACAACCTAAAATCCTATTTGCCCTGCCACTAGCAGTAGCTCATTGTTTGGATGGCTTAAGAGACTGATCAACCGGAACAATAAGATCTTTATATTTTTCCATAACACTGTTAAGGTTATTCTCGTCAAAATATAATTTAACATGTGATATCCAACATACTTCACCTTGTATTTATTATAATTAATGGGCAACCCAAAATTTTAACCAGCAAATTTAAATAATCTCTTGACGATTCCTTCATCTATATCATTGATGTAAATCAAAAAGAGCAAAGATTCCAACACTGAACCATAAGGTACCCCACTTGTGACATTAATCCAGTTTGACTGAACTCCATTTATAACAACCTTCTATTTTCTTTCTTCTAGCCAGTTTTCTATCCAATGAGCCAACTTATTCCCAGCTAGCCCATAATCATCAGATATTAGCTTTTCTGTATCTTTTCTCAAAAGCCTAATTGCCATCCTAATTTTTTGCTTCCCCTTTATGTGTTTTAAAAAATTTTTACTATTAATTTTCACATTTTCAACCAACCTTTTGTCATATACTTCGTGATTTCCTAATTTCCTGTCTGACCAGCTCTCTTGATCTTCTATAATCCTCCAAATCTCTCATCATTACAGTCAATTTAAATGTCTTATATTTGTCATGTTTTCTTTAATTTTAACCTTTATACCCTTTGTGAGCTATCCTGGTTTTTTTACTTGCAACCGCTCTTTTTTTTTTTTTCTTAAATAAACATGCCTATCTTGAATATTTAAAAAATTATTTTTTAAATTGTTCACATTTAATCGGTATCTTTAACTAATTCAGCTGCCCAATTCACAGCAGGTAATTCTTGTATCATTTCTACAAAATTTGCTTTTTTGAAATTTGGGTCCAAAATCTCTTTGTTCCTTATCTTTATATGCAGTCAAACATCAAATCTAACTGAGCAACAGCCATTTGTCTAGCTGTTCCAAAATCTCTACCCAGAGGCATCGCTAGGTACTTAAAAGAATTGGGGCTTGGCCCCAATGGTTTTGGGAATTTTCGGCATTTTAGTATGATACTGAGCATGGTTTTCTATCCTGAATTTTCAAGACTCCGACTGGAGATTTGGGACACTGTCAAAGAGAATCAGGACATAGGCCCCATGTGCCAGTGCCTAGTGACACCTCTGTCTCCACCCTATCAACCATTTCTATATTAGAAGTTCACAGGAAATCTAAAAAAGCATTTCCTAGTAGTTTTCCATAACCATCCATAACAGTTTCTAAAAACCTGTCTCCCTCATGATTGCCTGAAATTAAATTATCTCATAATTATAACCTCATTTACAGTTGAATTCTTTATCTCACTGTATAGTTTCTCATTGACTTCATCATTTTCATCTGGTGGTCTGTAATAAATTCAAACTGAAAGCCTTCTCTCTCTCTCTTATAACCTCTAATAAAAACCCTAATGAATTCAACCTCAATGCTATTAGCTTTGCTATTCTCAACTTAAACAGGCTGTAACTCATATTTTACATATAAAGCCACTTATACTTCTTTTGTTTTAGTATTCTATCCCTATTAAACAATTTATAACCTTGTACTTAAAAGAAATTCCATTAGAATTCTCTACTATTAGCCATGTTTTCATTATTCCCATTTTATCTAAATCATCCCTTTCGACCAGTGCTCTAAAGTCATCTATTTTATTTCTGACGCTTCTAGCATTATAATAGTAATTGTTTAGTCTACTATCAAGATTACCTCTGTACCTTGTTCCCACACTATAACCCTTTTTACATTTTATTTTTTTCTCATTATTCTGGCCCTCACTACTGTCTATTACTAGTTTAAAGCTGTTTTTACAGTTGAGTTAATAGCCCTTGCAAGCAAGGCAGCCCCTACCCTATTTAAATGTAAACCTTCCATTCCATAAAGATCTCTTTTTCTCACTTAACTGATCCCACAAATACAATGAGCCAACTTGCCCATCCTTTCTTGTTAACTAGCATTTACTAGTGACTTACTTATCTTTGCATGCCTTGTACCTAATACGTTCCTGTGACCTACCCTTTCCCCTATCATTACCCTCTATGTGCACTACAACAACTGCATCACTGCAAACACCCTTTACTATATTGCATGCTCTGCTGGTTATACCCTCTACCCCTGCCCCTGGATAACATAATGTAATTCTTTTCTCCATGTTTACCCCACAGACTATCCTATGGAAGTGCTGTAGTAATAAACCTCATATCAAAAAACCTTCTTTATGTTTTTCATTCCCATCCCTATCTATCATTTTTGTTATCTTTCTCTCCTTTGGTTTATCACCTGCACAAGCTAAAGGTTTAAATATGTTAGTTAATAGAAGCTGCTCATTATAATTAAATCTTATAAACATGATTATAAACTGCAAAGATGTCACAGCTGATATAACATTTCTGATAGTTTACCACCTGATTTTGTCCTTATGTAACTGCTTTGCTTTTCAACCAGGTGATTCATAAAATCTACAGCAAATAGAACAGTTATCCTGATGTAACTGTTTCAAGATTTCTTACATTATAATATTTATTAATGGTGATATTAAAGGTTCGTTATTGAGAGTTGCAAAGTAAAATGGAGATGTAAAGGGGAGGACTAATTTGAGGTATTGCTATGTGTACCTGTTATGTGCTTTGCATGTCACTGCTGTTAAATAACGAAAATGGTTAAAATTCTGTTGTAATCAGTGGTTGTAAGGTATTACAGTTGAGGTATTGCTATGGGTACCTATTATGTGCTTTGCATGTCACTGCTGTTAAATAAAGAAAATGGTTAAAATTCTGTTGTAATCAGTGGTTGTAAGGTATTACAGTTGATTGTAATAATTGCTTCTTTTGTAGCCTTAAATAGAATTTAACACATATAACTCTCTGTAGGTTTTACAAAATATTTATTTCTTTAAAATACCACCCCCAATGACTCAGTGATAAGTCTGTAGGCTTCTGACACTAAAAACTGGGTTTTGATACTCATGGTGGGCACAGCACAAATAGCTCATTGTGTAGCTTTGTGCTTAATAACAACCAGCCAAACAAACAAAATCTTTAAAATATAGTTCTAAATATGAAAATATCAATTAAGGCATAAACTATAGTTATGCAAATAATAAATGTATTGTTATTAACTGGTTAAATATATTAATTTATGTGGTATATAACTTACAGAATAAAATACTTATTATTTTTTATCTGTTTAAATAGCTTGTCTTCTGTATAATTAGGAACATAATAATGAATATTCTTGAAATTCCTATATAAATATGGGATCACTGTGTGAGTAAAAGACATCTCAAAACTCCATACAGAAAATATACGTTGTACTACAAAATGAAGCCTGCACTTGTCCAGGATTACTGATGATGGTGTAATTGTCCAAAACTTGAACTCAGTGACAAGTGATTAATCAGTTGATAGACTGGACCTCACATTTATTTTTAAGTATTGAAATACTATTATCAGTTTCTTAAGATTTTCATGAAAATGGTTAAACCATTGTAACATACCACAGTTTTTATTTTTATAACTTGGCAAAAGAAGTGGGAGATATTTTTACTGCTTGTTTTATTGCAACATACACAAAATTCAGGCTTGGATTGTGTAGCATGAATACTATTTTTTGAACTGTTATTTTATTCTACAATAAGAATAATCAATATAATATCACCAGGATTCTTAAAATAAAGAGTTAAGTATTTATTAGAACTTCTAAAAGATAAACAGAATATATACACTATTTAAGAATGTCAGGTTTGGACAAGAAGTTCAGAAAAAGAATCAGAAAGAAAAAACCTAACTTTGTGAAATTATCACAAAACTTACTTAATAATACAACACTGAAACTTTGTGATGTTTTTGAAGTGTTAGCATTGATGTTGAAAACAATGAATATACTAATTGTAAAGTTCATAGGAAATCAACTTTTTATCTGAGTACAGACTTCTTTAACAGTATGTTTTGAGATTACGTATTAATAAACATTCTGATAAACAATTTACTTATGTTTTTTATATTATTTTACTTTCATTTTTTACATTATTATAGATATACAAATATATCAAATTTTTATTTCTAAAAATATTTTGAGTTCAAAAGTAGTTACATTTAAGTGTTTTTAAATGATTTTGTTTGAAGGTAAAATTATTATTTTTTCATTGGCGATATAAACACAAAACAGTAGTGGAATTTTTTATTATTGGCATAATGTACCTTATATTTTAAGAACTAGTTTATTTCACAAGGTCCCCCAGTGGCACAGCGGTTTGTCTATGGACTCACAATACTAGAAACCAGGTTCCAAAACCGTGGTGGGCAGAGCACAGATAGCCCTTTGTGTAGCTTTGTACTTAACTACAAACAAACTTATTTCACAAGACACTGATAAAACATCTTGAAAAATAGATAATTATGAACAGCAGAGCATTGCTGTTTTCATAGAACATTATATAAACTATTCATATCAACTTACAAAGTATATTGTAAATAGGGTTTTCACTAAATTTTTTGTTATGTAGTTGATTTATAATTTGCTTTGTTATTTGTAAGATTCAAGATTCAAATATTTGTCTTTTTTTTTACTTCAGTTCCAAGCTGCAAACAGAGAATGGCTTTGAAGATGGAAGAAGTAACCAACATATGTTTGATTCACACAAGAAAAGCTGTCACTGGTCACAAGATAAACTTTATGTATGTTTATGTATAGAAGATTGTTTCTCTGAAAGATTAATGGGAACATATTTGGTTTTTATAAGCTGTATCTTTTAATTTATTTGTGAATTTCCAAACTGTTGACATTAAAGTAAATTCTTTAAAGTGGCTATATTTCATGTACTCTCCACTGTTCATTACTTTACATTGTGTATAACTGCTTTGTAGTGATACATCTAGGTGAAATATGACACTATTTTAAGATTTCTTTCATGAATATACACAGCAGTATTTACACCAAACATTTTTTTCTGTTAATCTTACACTTCCTCAGAAAAAGTGAATATGCACCAATAAACCCATAACATTACTTCACTAAACTATATATACTACAGTCAGTTATAGTTAATTGTAGTTTTAAAGCTACAAATTGCTTTACAATTTTTATTATATGAACTTTTTTGTTTATTAGGCATAAACAGAAGATAGGAGTAGTAGTAGTATATTTTGTATTGGTGTAATTTATATATCTTATTATATTTCAAGGACAAACTTATTGAACTAAGACAGTTTGAAAATTACATACTTTAGATAAATTCAAACAGCCAGACAAAAAATATATATATTCCTGGCCACCTTTTTATCAATTTTCACGTTTTCTATAATTTATAATTCCGACTTCATAGTTTTCAAGTTATCGTGTAGAGTGTGGAAGTTGTCAGATGAGTGAATGTATTTATTATTATTTGAGATGAAAGCAATGAACCTGTGGAAGTAATTTAACCATCATGAAAAATATATTTTCCTGTAAAGCTAAAAGCTATTTGAAGAAATAAAGTTTCTCTTAATTTTATTTTGATGGTTAAAGTGCATTCAGTAGAATTGCCATGTGATATAAAAATTATTTAATTAAATAGCTCTTATTGTTTTATGGTACATATATACCACATTCTTTGTCACCATGTTGTGCAATAAACATGCTCTTATGTTATCAGTAAGGAAAGCTATTTCGATTAAAGGTTTTATAGTTCTTAATCTTTTGTGAACAAAAATTTGAAATGATTACTATTTAGACATTTTGGTTGTTTCCGAGATGATAACTCACTACCTGACACAGAAATGCTATCTAAACTGCTTGTCTGCCTATGAGATTTGCATGCCACTAACCTTGAGCTAACCCCCACCTAATTTCAGTATTTAACATGAATTTCACTGGTGCATGATGACATCATCAGGCAACAAAAGCCCTTCACTGATAGGAGGGCAACACAACCTCCATGCACAGTAACTCCCCCTGTGTGCTTGCACTCATTATAACTTCATTTTTGTCCTTGGTGCTGTCTAGAAAAGATGTTTTAGATTTATCAATCCATTACATGAGATTTGAGATAATTTCTGACACTTCAATTTCATTAAAGTTTAACTGATTTCCTTTATTACTGAAGATATGAAAATTGAATTTGATGACATTTTTTTACATACTTACCAATAATGGCTTCTGAAGTGGTGGAGGCTTCTCTCTCTCTCTTGTGTATCACTTTCACCATCTGTTGGACAAGATCCTTCAGGCTAGCATGTGGGTGTATCCATACATGTTCATCTCTCATCATCATCTTTGTCTTGCTGTTTTGTTTACTGCAGGGTTTCAGCTACTTCCTTTGTTATTCTCCACTCCACACCATCTTTGAGAATTGAAAGCACAATTTCTTTTTCAGATCCCCTTCTATCTTTATTGGATCCCACCAGGTGACTGGTGTTGTTTCTCAGGGTATGCTTATTTCACGAAATCCACATTGAGTCAGGATAACATAAAGTACTCTAACCATCTGCCCTCCTTTACAAGTGTCTCTGTAAGATGGGGTGTTCTGCAAAAGTAGTTGAGGTATCCTCTTGGTATACGTATTTACTCAATTTTCTGATCAAGACAGTACTAATTCCATAGTCTATCATGGAAAAGGGCAGCACCAGTGAAGTGTCTTTTAAAAGTAGGGATTTGCAGTCACCCATTGCACTTTCTCCAGTAAAAGACCTTTCCAGCTGGTTGTCTGAACAGAATTTGGGTCTCCCCAGTGTGAATTCCCTCCCCTCCCCTGTTTTCTTCGAGAGGAGCACAGGAGACTCTTCCCACTTAATAGTTCCTTTCCACTAGTGTGGTTGAACATGGAGAATTCTTACTAGTTGGGCTTAGTGCAATACAATGGGAAATGGGGCAGTGCCAGTGTAGTATGGATCACCCATCACATATATATAACACATAACTAATGTGCCCTTCTCTTGCAGCCATGGCCTGTTTAGTAAGTGAGGTGAGCACACATTGTATGGTCTCATCATGCCCCAACCACACTACATATACTGACTTGCTGACTACTTGTGTGCAAGTGCTTGGATGATCATCATGCTCCAACCACACTACACATACTGACTTGCTGATTGCTTGTGTGCAAGTGCTTGGATGATCATCATGCTCCAACCACACTACATATACTGACTTGCTGACTACTTGTGTGCAAGTGCTTGGATGATCATCATGCCCCAACCACACTACATATACTGACTTGCTGACAACTTGTGTGCAAGTGCTTGGATGATCATCATGCCCCAACCACACTACACATACTGACTTGCTGATTGCTTGTGTGCTAGTGCTTGGATTATCATGTTCTTATTTCACCCATCCCTGTGACACTTGGATCTTATTTGCTTTTCCCCCTTTACATTCTGAGTGAAGAGTATACCCTGGTCAAGATGAGATGCTTTCTCCCAAGGCTGTGCCCCTATTAAACCCTGTCATCGGGTGTCATTGGGCACTTTCTTAAGGGGGCTCATCTAGCTTTTAAAATTTTGCTCTGGCCCCTCCACCACTTCATCACAGGATTCTAGCATTTTGTGTGTGTGTGAGAAGGTGACATTTTCCTAGTCTGGAAATTTATTTCTAATAAACACTCACTTTCTGCATATATGGAGTTACTGCACATGGAGGTTGTATTTCCCTTCTTTTATCACATGATGACATCATCATGCACCAGTACAGTTAATATCAACCACGTGAATTTAGGTGAGTGATAGCTCAAGGCTAGTGGCATGCAAATTTTAGAGACATATGCATGAGGAAGATATCATTTTTGTGTGAATGTCTGTTGTTAATGTATTTCCAGATTAGGAAAATGTTAAGTTTTGTTTCATATGTTTTTAGGGTCAAAATTCTGAAGTAAGAGAAAAATATCCTATTTCTGTATTTATTCTGAATTTGAACTAAATAGTAGGTTATGTGTAGGCTGTAGTTCTTCACTGTAGTTTTCAGTTTGAACACAAACTGTTAGGCAGTATAGGTTATTTCATCTGTTAAATACATGTATCTTCCCTTTCTCTGAAAATGTAACCCTAAATGTGCTTGAAAGATTAAAATAAGTATCACACATTCGTGAAGTAATAGCTAAAAATATTTTTATTGTTGGCTAATATTTCCAGAGGTAAAGACCTCTGTTGATATTTTGCAGTTTTTCATTGGGAATATGGACATTATTTGTAATTAATTTGATGCACTTGCAAAGAAAATTAGGACCAAACATGTTGGTTAGGTAAGCATTAAAACCTTTTGTGGTAGGATATACAGATTCCAACAACTATTTCACAACCTTGTTGATGCACTTTATTTCATCTGCTTTGTTAGCCAGTATTATTGTCAGTTATTTTCATACAGGGTGGATCCATCTTTTATTTAGTCTATATGAATTAAGTAGTAATAAATTTAAAATACAATATATATAGGAGTTTTTCTTATTTGATAATAATCTTAAATGCTTTAAAATTGTTAATGCTTATTTACTATTTTACTTCTTTTTCAGGACCCTGTACTAAAGTTAACCAATGGTCATTTGGTTGACTCTTTGAAGGGAAAAAGTAAGAATAATATAATTCCCTTAAAAGAGAAAAATGACTGCAGTGAAACACAACAAAAAAGGTATGTTCAATTTCTAAGAAACATTAAAGTTTAGTGAACTTTGAATTAAGTTGTTAATTATTTTTTTGTTTTATGCATAATTCCATTTTCAGCTGAAAATTACAAGTATTTGATATGTGTCACCTAATATCCTATCATGTTCTTCAGTGTTTTATGTTATCTATGTCTTATCATTATATCTCATACATATATTTTGTGTCAGCCATAGCAGTTTATAGTACAGGTACCCCTTGCACAATATAAATTTCCATACATCTGAATAAAATTTTTACATACTTAAGATATTTTATGCTGTAACTATCTAATACCTAAATTCATCACTCTGGCAAATAATGAAGTCCATCCTGTCCAATGTAGTGTAAGTCATTATCGATAATATTCAACAGGAAAGTCCTATTTGATACAGCTTAGTGATTGTAAAAATGTTTTTAAATCAGATATATTTAGTTTCATTGACAAGTATATTGTGTATATGTATTAACTGCATTTTTGTTCTTAGTCATTAGAAAGCCATAAGTCCTTTCCTATAATTCCTTTCTCATCTTTAATATGTAGAGAAGACAGCTAGGTGGCTGTCCATATGACTTTTTGTGAAATATGTTTGAACTTCCAATATCAATGATACTTATTGTTAAATATACCACAATTTGAAATATTTATGAATTTTTCTTGTGATTTATTCATTTTAATGCACACTACATAACCATTTAGCTAGCATCTAAAACTTATTTCTTATTAAAAGTGTACAGATTTGTGTAATCTTTACATGACTGAAGCTTTGCTTGTTATATGATTCAGCATCTTTGGACAGCTTTTCTATATATACTGTGCTCTAATTTTGTATATAATTGTTATTCTGATTTACCATTCAATATATTGTATGCAAAGCCAGGTGCAAGGTTCTAGTTCTGCCTTAGTCTTCTCAGAGAGCAGTTTCAGGCAGTCTTGTGCACAACTTTGCACATAAACCTGCTCATTGCTCTAACTGTAATTCCTTAACAAAGGGAACTCCATCAATATCAATGTTGTATTCGAGACCTCAGTGTCCAAGACCGAGACCTCAGGCTTCAAGACTGAGACCTTAGGGGTCAAGACCAAGACCTTGTAATAAATTACACAATGAAAAATAAAACAATAATAAAAATAACATGCATCAAACAAACTTTATCAAAATCTTAACCACAAATCTTTTACCCATTAACCCCATAGTCTTTGTTTTAACGTCTTTTCCAATTAAAAAATAAACAGTGAAAAATAAAATAGCAAGTGAATGAATAGAAAAAATCAAAAAAGTGTTATGTATCTGCTTGTTTGTTAATTTCCGGTAGAAATTCTTTCTGAGGAACTTCAGTGATACAAGTCCGTTCTTGATTAAACCAGTTTATTTTTTCTCGATACAAACCTTTAGTACACAGTAATTCCACAGTCACTACATTTCTCGTCACTTTAAACTTAACGACTTTTATAATACACGCTATAAATCACAGCGATTCACAATCTCGATAATTTCACTATCTATGAGTGCAAAACACATACTAGCTCGAAACAGAATCGTAAATTATTCGAAACTCACCATAACTACTGTTCACTTATCTCCATTCATTAACTGCTGGCTTTCACTGCCAGGCTTCTATACTAACAAAAAGGCATCTCCAACATTGGCGGAGTTCCCTGATAATTCGAGAAACTCAGTCGCACATGAGCCAGTAGTGTCACATGACTTCCACTGTCTTAACACTGCCACTTCCTTAGCATTGTTTGTCCCGAACAATAACCACTTATATTCAACCAATAGATAATTAACAATAACTTGATTAAATGTACAGAATTTACAAAAACAAAATTGAAATACAACAAAGTCTCTTAGTTTTACATGACGTTTCTTCTTTCGTACTGGTCTCCATCTTATTGGCTTCTGATTTACATGGCATTCATCTGCTCCATCAGGAAATGTCCCATTATTGGTAGCAGTCAGATTAGTAGTAGTAACTTCATTAATGGCTTTACTGTTTCCCTTCTCAAAACTGGGTAGAGTTTCTTTTCCAACAGTGGCTTTTTTAGGTGACATGTCTTCAGTAGCATCATTTGTTCTGTTGTTCATTTCGTTCCAACTGAAATGTCCTGGACTGTGATAATGCCAAAGCCTGTTGGAATTCACCACTATTGGCTTACCTCACCGACTACATTTTATTCGGAAAGTCTCGTCTGAAAGACGATCCACTATGTCATATGGGCCTTCCTATGGAGAAGACAACTTAGGAGACTTCCCTTTGTTCTTCCTGGGATTATGCAACCACACCTTGTCTCCTGGTACAAAGTTGACTTCTGTAGATTCCTTATTATAACATAGCTTCATGGAATCAGCAGACGTTTTTATGTTTGAATGCACTTGATGATGAATATCATTGATTCTTTCAGATAACACTTTCACAAACTCTGGCAACTCTTCGTAAGGTGGACGTCCTGTTATCAGGTCTTTCGTCTGCCAAACAACTTGCAGCATTCATGGAACACAGCTGATTCAAAGCTATGGCCTTGATCCGAATGCAGTTCGAATGGCATACCAAACCTGAAGAATAAATCACTAATGACCGAAGCTACAGTTGTAGCTTCCTGATTTGGTATTGCATATGCCTCAAGCCACTTGGTGAAATAATCCATCCCCACACAAATTTACTTGTTTCCTGCATGAGTTTGGGGCAAAGGACCAGCAATGTCAGTGGCTAATCTTTCCATTGGTGCACCAACTTGATATAACTTCATTGGAGCATGTCCCTTATGCTTGGGTCCCCTTTTAGCACAACATGTACTGCAGGTCCTGCACCATTCTTCCACATCTTGCCTCATACCTATCCAGTAAAATCTCTGCCGTAGGTGACTCAATGTCTTCTTAACTCAGAGATGTCCTCCTGTTAAAGTATCATGGGATTGATGCAGCACAACTTCCCATATCTTTCTCGATATAACTGTTTGCCAGGTAGTCACTTTCCCATCTGTAGTTTCCCATCTTCAGACAAGAATACCATCTTCAAGCTTCAACTGGTCTCATTGTGCCCAATAGTTCTTTGTCACAGGGCTTAAGCTAGACACCTTCTCCTAAGCAGGGCACAAAACACTTGCTTTTAGAAATCAATCATTGGCTTCAAATCACCATCATCAACTCCTTCAGTCACTTTGATAGCACCTGGTTAGTTCATCCTCTCTTTTGCAGCAGTGTCTGCAGTCATTTTTGCAGGGTCTTCTGCTTAATCTGTCGGTCTGTCTTTCTGATCCAATGTGCCAGGTGTCCCTATGGATTCTTTAATGATCTTAACCAGCTTAATGCTGTATGGTCTGTCCTGATGGTAAACCTAGCCCCATAGAAGTAAGGATGGAAATATGTCAGACTCTTTACTATAGCAAAGAGTTCCCTCTGTGTTACACAGTAGTTCCTCTCTGGTCTATTCAGGACTTTACTGATGTAAGCCACCACATGTTCGTTTTTGCCCACTTTCTGAGACAACACTCCTCCAATTCCAACATTACTAGCATCACAATCCAGTATGTATGGCAGTAAGGGATTTGAAACGTTAAAAGTGGAGCTGAGGCCAATTTTTCTTTCAATGTCTTAAAAGCATGCTGGCAAGAAACTGTCCATTCAAACTTCTGGCCCTTTTTTGTTAAATCATGTGGTGGAGCCACTACAGTTGCAAAGTCCTTCAAAAACTTCCGGTAATAGGTACAGAGTCCCAAGAAACTTCTTTACTCTCCCACATTGTCTGGTGTTGGCCAATCACACACTGCTTTCATGATCAGTTTAACGCACACCATGCTCACTTACAATGTGACCCATGTAAAGCACCTCTTTTCTGGAACAAGTGGCATTTCTTAGGATGGAGTTTGAGGTTTGCTGCCTTCAAATGCTTGAATACTTCCTCTAGCCAGGATACTTCCTCATCAAATGCTGATGCAAACACAGTGACATCATCCAGGAAGAACTAGGGCTATCCTCCATTATAGGCCTTCCAGTACTCTTTCCATCAGCCTCTCAAATGTGGCTGGAACATTGCTTAGCCAGATTGGCATCACACGGTATTGCCAGAGACCTTGGCCATAACTAAATGCAGTCTT